ACCTTGGGACAGTCACTTACCCTGTCTGTGATTCAGTTTCTTCCTCCGGACAGACAGTAGCTTGTGGGGGTGTTGTGAAGCTAAATTTACTGCATGTAAAGTGCTTTGAGATCCTTGGATCAAGGTACAAACAATCCAGTGCAAGATAAATGGACGGAGCTTAGGAAAGTTCCCTATAAGATTCTGCAGGTTCTTTTGAGCTTCCTCAGTCTGCAGAGGCCTCTTGGGTTTAAGAGTGCTTTGGTGCGTGGACATGGATTGGGTTACCTGCGGGGTTTCCGTAGGGGCTGTGTTGAACTTCAGGCTATAGGGCTACCAATTTAAAACCAGAACGTGCTGTCAGACTCTCTCGAGTTGCAGTGCACACTGAGTGGCCCAGCTTTCATCAGCAGTAGCGGACCTCATGCTCCCATGCTGCCCCCTCGGATCTGTTCTTGGGCCCATTTCAGAATGCATGGAATGTGCAGAAATTGAAGGTGTGGGCTGATCTGGCTAAGGCCTGGATTTCACAGAATATCGGCAGCTTTTTTTCTAAAGAAACAAAGCGTCAGCCACACTGATCATGTTTGGTTTTCTAAATATCTTTTTTGAAAAATCTGTGTTTTAGTCCCTGACTTTTTATTGCGGTCAAAACATTGAGAACCGAACATCATGATTAGTTACAGAGAGCAACTTAATTAAACAGTGGACCAAATTCCTTGCTCTTACGAGGGCACAACTCCATTGTCATACACCAGCTGTGAATTTGGCTCTCTGACTGACATCACCTTTGTTATTGTTTCCCAGTGGGCTTTTGCCTCACTCCAAATTCTTTCTTTCTCTTCCCCTCTCTTCAGAAAACAGAAGCACAATGAGCACAGTAAAATCAAAGAGAAACCCCAGCAAAAGGTTTAATGAAACCAACAAAAACCGTGTGCCTCAAACTTCCCTAAACTCTTTAAACCTCTTCTGCAGTCCTGTGAATCTAAAAGCTGCAACATTGTGCAAAGGCAGAGGAGCCTGACAGTGATCAGAAAAAGAAAAGGAGGACTTGTGGCACCTTAGAGACTAACCAATTTATTTGATCATAAGCTTTCGTGAGCTACAGCTTACTTAATCGAATGCATCACGAAAGCTTGTGCTCAAATAAATTGGTTAGTCTCTAAGGTGCCACAAGTACTCCTCTTCTTTTTGCGAATACAGACTAACACGGCTGCTACTCTGAAACCAGTGATCAGAAAGTGACCCATGGCAGCGTGGCCATGAAATGCATCCAGTACACAAATGGCATAAAGTGAACTCTGTTTTGCTTTTAGTGTTGCTAATAGCACTGGAAGGCTAATTCTGTCTTGCAGGGTCTGATATTTACCTTGGAGATGTCCCCTTTTCAAAGCTGCTTTGGAAAAGTAGCTGATTACTGCTTACTGGATCTGAACAATGGTTCAGCTCTGTTACTTTCTCGAGGAGAAATGGATTATTGGTGATGTTTATGTAGTGCCCATGAGTTGCACAGTGCACTTATGCCCTGACTGTTACAAGGACGACAGCTTACACTTAGGATAAGCACGAAAGGAATTACTGAGGGAATGAAACTGCCCGTACTCTTGTTGCATGCCATCTTGGAAAGCAATCCAGTTGCGTCTCTGAGTTGCACCTCCCACTGTCTCTTTTACAACCCTGCTGGTGAGTTCCTCATTGCAAGGCGCTTGGCTTAGCAAGCGGGGCTCCTGCTCTCTCCCTTGTGCCCCCCCTTCTTGTTGGCAGCCCCCTGATGTGGTGGTCTCACTGTGCTAGTATTGAAACGTCCAGCACTGCCACCCCTGTAATGTTACCAAGCACAAACCTCCCCCCACAAGCACCTGAAAGGACATTTCAGCTGGATGGAAACTCCCATCACTACATATACCTCTCAACTGTCCCAGGTTTGCCTCTGGCCCAAGCACATCCTGTGTTCTCACTCCTTCATTCTGGAAAATGTCTGACAGTGGAAAGGTGGACTCAGGAAACTGAAGGTTAGAGAAAATGTTATTTCTGTTCCAGGCGCCGCGCTTGCATTGTTTGCAGATGCCTGCACTACTGTTTGTTGTCTCTCTCTCCTTCTGGGGCTGTGGTCCACACGTGGGCCTTAGTGGGCTGAGAGGTATATATGGTCTGTAGCCGGATCAGGATCCACCAGAGCCTGAAAAGGAACAGAGGGAGATAGATGGGAATTTATTCCTCTCTCTCTCTCTCTCTCTCTCTGTAATATTCACAGTAATTAACCCTGCGGTTTGTATTCTGTAAAACTTGGTATATTTCTGTGCCAAAATGTTATTTATTAAAAAAAAAAAAAAACACTGTCAAAATTGTTTAGTGTGACTTTTCTTTTAACTGAACTAACTTGTTGGTTCCAAGTTACTCTGGGGGGGAGGTCAGCTCCTATTTAGGATGGAGGACTTTTCTGTGGGCCCAGTTCAGCCTTGCACCTTGTGTAGTCATTTACATCAGTGCAAAGTGAAGCACTATGAAATCACAAGGGTACCATTTTTCACACCTATTGTATGAGTGTAAATAGCTACACACGGTACAAGGTTTCTGGATGAACTGGGCCCTGTGTGCCTTTTATGGACTAGCTTTCTAACTTGTATGAAGGTGATCAGTAAACTCAGCTTGAAAGGAAGGACTAAAGAACGCTGCATGCAGGGCTAGAGCTGGCATTATGCTTATTGAGAGAGAAAGAATGGCATGAAATTCATCTTTGAAACTGTACTTGCAGCTCATAGAACGCTGTGCTGGAAACACAGGGCGTGTTGTCTTCAGGTTACAGCCCAGCACTGGCTAGAGTCTGTTTTGGACTGTGACCTCTGTCACCCTGTAAAGTGGGAATAATGCTTACTTCACAGGCACATTGGGAAGATTAGCCCATGCTGTGATATTTATAGCGCAGCTCAAGAGCCTTGTCTGGAAGGCAATATGCACTGGTCTGGTTTCGGCCTACCAGTGTCCCTGCCAAGCAATCAGCTGTCTGGCTGACTATCCCCGACTGTCTCCCCAGTGCCAATGCACCAGGAATGAAAACCAGAGGGAAAGGTGGTGTTTGCTGATGGCGTATTCAGTGCAGGGAATGAAATGCAGTCCTCGCCCCACGGAGCTGACATTTATGGAGAGAATACTGCTAACAAGCAGGGCCCAGGGGGTTTCTTGGGTAATATTGATTGGCTGCAGTTATAGCCCTGACGTGAACTGCTGCCATGACCTTTCAAGCAGTGGCCCAGGCTAAGGTTGATTAAATGTCTGCAGTGGTGATGTGGGGTGAGATTTCCACAAGGACCTACAAAGCATTCAGGAGCATTAAGTCCCATTGACTTTTGGTGGGACTTATGCTCCCAAGTTGCTTAGGCATCTTTGAGAATCTCCCCCATAAACAGCAGGACGGAGGCAACTTGGGGTTTATCTTAAGCCCTTTTGTGACCGAACTCTATGGCCAGGAATTGAATCTCAAGCCCCTGGCTCCAGGAAGGGGATTCAGAACTCCTTAAAACCGGCCATACTTTTGCATCATCTCATACCACTTAGCAGGCAGTAACCCTCGACAGGTTGATGTGGTGTTGATGGTGGCTCCTTCTTTTGCTGAGACTCTCTGAGGACACTTAGGCCTGGCACGTGGGTTTTTGTCTGGATTTAAACTTTTCCGTGCCATGCCTGCAGCCCACATAAGGACATGCCCCAGCTGGAGCGTCTCAAAGTAAAACTGACTAGAGATGCACCACTGAAACCGGGCAGTGTACATTGTCCAGAGTAAAAGATGCAAAAATAAACAACCGCAATAAATGGGGCAAAGGAAATTAGAGGGTAACGTTCTTCAGTTTCCACGCTGTAGCATGCCATTGAGTATAGGTGCTCAGAGAGCTCAATCACGTTTTCAAAAATACATATTTTAACCTGACCATGTCACGTTTTTAATAACAAAACCATAGTGTTACTGAGAAGGATTTCCATTGAATGGCAGATAGTTTGTGGAGTGGAGGATGGGGGGGAGATTAACAGCCAGGCGCCCCGGTAATAGCGCAGTGATACAGTACAGAGCTGAGACACCAGCCCCATCGAAACCCCAGAAAGCATATTTCTCTTACACCGCTGCCCCTCTACCAAGTGCACGGTCCCAATCTATCTGGGGACTGAGTTCTAGAGCGGAGAGCCCTCCACTGCCATTGTCCCACTTCCAGTCCCCCAGAGTGCAAATCTAGTGACTGTCAGCAGGAACACCCGGCTGTGAGGGTGGAGCAGCCTCATGGGCAGCCAGGGTGTTGTAGATGGAAAGCACCTTAAAATGTCACTCAGGGGATTGTAACTTCAGATGGGGAAAACACAGTTGGAGCAGAGGAATTTTTCACAATCCTGTGTTCACACTAATACGTAGATCGGAAGCTCTCTGTTCTGTTTGTACAGTATCCAGCACAATGGAGTCCTGATCCAGGACTAGAGCTTTTAAACACTATGGCAGTAAAACTAATAACTTCCTTACAAAGAATTGAAAGCAGTTTCCTGGGAATGGCAGAAGAGCATTGTCTTAGGGCCCTTATGGGAGGGAGAACAGTCTAGTGGTTAAAGCTTGAGGATTTTACTTCTATTCCTGGCTCTGCCTTGGTGAAATGATCTTAGACCAGTCATGTTACCAAGTCTGCCAGATGGTAGCTACTTACCTCTCCCTGACAGGTTGAAGTCATTAGTGTTTGTAAAATGCTTGGAGGTCCTCAGAAGCAAAGTCATGTAGAAAAGCAAAGCGTCACACAGCCACTAAGAGTTAGCTGTTTGCCATGTCAGGGATTAGTGCTGGATGAAACGCTCCAGCCAGGAGGCTTGAGGGAAAATGCCGAACATATTGTGTGCCTAACAAGGTAAGTGGATTTCTAACTCCCACAGACAAGAAGACAGGTGCTAATTAGCCACCTGCCATGTCTCATTAACCGGTCCTTCTGTCTCTTTAAAAGAGTGAAGGACAGCTGTATCATTCAGCCAATCCCACAGCTTTTCTGGAGCCTAAACTGCCAAAATGGGAGGGATCAGGACTTCTGGGGTTGACATCACCGTCCAGCTGATTGCAAGGGACCGGAAGAAGAGTTGTTTACAGGTTAGTAAGTTTCATTAATAAACTGGAAATAACAAGAATACCATGAAGCTAATCAGCTGAAAGGGGAACAAAGTTGGCTAGAGCAAAGGGGGATGGTGGGTTTGTGGCTTTAGAGAGGGTGCACAACATAGCAAAGTTTTAGTTTCCTTTCTGGAGCAATTCACTCTGGACTTGCCTGGGCTAACTACGTGAACGATTCCAGCTTCTCTCTCTTCCTAGCTGTGGCCTGACAAAGACATCAGGCTCCTGGCTTAGCTTTCTTGACTTTACTTTTTATTTTTTTTTAGTTTGTTTGGTTTGTTTAATTAAAATTGAATTTGCAAAATGTCCATTTTTCACTCATGTTGACTTGGAAGTGAAAACGATATTTTCTTTTCCAAAATATTGTTTTTAAAGAGCTCATACTAAAATAAAAACAGATCACACTTTTTCCCTTTTAATCTGCATCACCCAAAGTTCTCCTTGAAAAAAGATTTTGGGAAGAACAAAAATAATTGCAGAATTTGTACAAAGGGGTTTACAGCTGTTGTCATGTACAAAGGGACAGTAAGAAATCGTAGAAGGAGAAGTTTACATCTGCATGTACCATACCCTGCTGAAGCTTGACCTGATAGAAGGCTGTTCAGAGTTCCATAAAAATTATTGTTGTATTTTTAAAAAAAAAAATCAGAAAACCAAGGTTAAGAATATCAGGTATGTATGCCTGTGACTTGCAGGGAGAAGTGTGTTTACAGAGCTTCCCTATGTTCCAGGGACAGGATCAGGACTGGGGAGGAATGATTGTTTATCTTGGGGCAGGGGTGATTGGCTGCCTCGTAAGGCGAACTGGAAACAAATCTCTCTCCTGACGAGTTCTGCCTCTTGATTTCGGCATAAGCCTGGTGCAGTTTACCTTGGGCTGTTTCCCTCCCAGCTAGGGCTTCGTTGTTGTTTTCTGTAGGGAAAATGAAATGAGTTCTGTTTTTGGAAGTGGGGGTTTCCCCTCTGATTTGTATTAGGCTGGCATATGTAATCACACACACACTGAAGAGTATGTGATACGTATACCAGCCTAACAGGGCAAAGCCAGCCCTCCTGTTCCTCATGGCTGGAGCTCAGCTCTTGCTGCTTGTGATATTACAAGGCCCCCTCTTGTGGATGTCAGTAGAGCTCATTCTCTACTCTGCCTCCCCTGCTATTGCTGTATGTGTTGCTTGCCTCCTCGCACATGGAGCCCACCTGCTTTTCCTTCCTTGGCCCGATGCCATGCTGCAAGCCAGGCTGCTCCCAGAAGCCTTTGGCACTAAGGGCAGAGCTTGATTCATTAAGCAGGACAATGCACTTGTTTCTGATAACACCTCTGCTACTTGAGGTGTCCTGGAGTGCTTTCTGCAGGGACGGGTTACCTGTGGGAATGCAGTCACTGTGCAGGCAAACATAGCAGTCGCTGGATCAAATTCCAATCTGGTGTAGGCAGATGTCAGGAGAGTTACTTCTACCCCCGCTGGCTCAGAACGTGGCCTGTTAAGCAATCCATAATAGCTCCTACCCAACTGCCACAGCTCATGGAGGGTTTAATGAGACTGAGCACAAAACGCTGGTCATCCTTTACTCTCTGTGTGAAGCACATGACACCTTCCCAGTACAGGGAGCCCGAAGTGATCTCAATTTTTTTAACATCTGATCCAAAGAATGGATCTGTTAGCAATGCACTGTCCCCTTGCCAGTGCCTAATAAGGTCAGTGTTTGGATCAAAGCTCTGTGTGTGTGTGTGTGTGTATCTGAAATGCTCCTCAGCACTTCCTGTCCCCCAGCTCTGCCAATGCACCTCTAGCCTAAATGTGCAGTCAGTGCCTCCTGCCGTCCCCCTACTAGGCACTCACAGCTCCATTCATGCATCTCAGCCCTCCCTGCCATTCCGGTCCCACCCACCCACTCGCTCTGCCTATCCATCTCAGTCTCAAACCTTCAGCACCTCTGGTTCATCCCTGGGCTCTCCATGCAGCTCTGCCAGTGCCCCTTCACCCTTGCTCTGCATCACCCTACATTCCAGCAATGGGTGTTGCCTAGTGTTCCGGTCCTCTCTTTACAGTAAGATTGACAAAATTGAGGCCAATGAAGTCACTCCCATGTGTGACTTGAACAGGATTAGACCTTATGTCTTCAGAGGAGAAGGGCAGATATTCCACAGGGTCCTTAATGCACATTTAAAGCCCCATCCAGCACTTGTGGGGTCACAGTACCTGGTGAAGCTTTTCATGGAATAAGGGCAGGTGGTTCCCTCCAGACAAGGGGCTCCTGAGTGCCCCCCTCAGGAAGGGTTGGCTGAGTCAGAAATTTTCTCTGACTTTTGATGCTTAAAATGCAGAGAATCAGCCCAAAAGCCACTCCTGTTCTGCTGATGTGATGGGCTCGTTCTGCGGCTGCAAAAAAAGCCCTGAAGAAAGGTGATTGTGTGGTGGTTGTTTTTTTTTGTTTTGTTTTTATTTTCTTTTTTTTTAAAGAAGGAAATCCATCTGCTTGAGCCCTTCATTCTCATGTATTTTGACAGCTGAATTTTTAGTCTTATTAGTCTGACTCTCCTTGGGGCCTACGTCCTCATTCCCCTCTGGTCCCTGAGCTCTTTAAAAGCTGTGATATTTCCATTGGTGATTAGAAAACGAATAGATCTTCCACTGTGCAGGAATTGAGCATGGCTTCTTTTAATGTCGAGTTTTCTAATGACCCACATTGCTTTATAACACAGCAAAAACCTGAAGGAAAAGACCATAGATTGCATACACTACAGTTGTGATCAGTGAGCTAGGGGTCTGGAGAAAGGGTCTCTCTGTGAGGGTTCATTGACTCTGGCATTTACTTTGTCTCTTGGTCTACCAGGGCCTAGATCAGGGGTGGGCAAACTTTTTGGCCTGAGGGCCACATTTGAGTGGGGAAATGGCATCCAGATCCATGAATGTAGGACTGTGGCAGGGGGTTGGGGTGCGGGTGTGGTGTGCAGGAAGGGGCTCAGGGCAAGGATTTGGGGTACGGGGTGTACCAGGGACTCACGGCAGGGGGTTGGGGGGCAGGAGGGCTGTGGGGTGTGGCAGGGGGCTCAGGGCAGGGGTGTGGCATGGAGCTCAGGGCAGGGGGCTGGAGAGCGGAGGGGTTCACGGTTTGGGCTTCGGCATGGTGCTGCTTATCTTGAGCCACTCCAGGGTGGCAGTGGCATGCAGCGGGGCTAAGGCAGTCTCCCTGCCTGCCCTGGCCCTGGCCCACTCCTGGAAGTGGCTGGCACGATGTCCCTGCGGCCCCTAGGGGATGGAAGGGCAGAGGACTCCGTGTGCTGCCCTTGCCTGCGGGTACCTCCCCCCGAAGCTCCCATTGGATGTGGTTCCCTGTTCCTGGCCAACAGGAGCTGCGGGGGACGGTGCCTGCAGGCAAGGGCAGCACGCTGAGCCTCTGTGCCCCCTCTTCCTCAGGGGCCACGGGGACGTGGTGCCAGCTGCTTCCGGGAGTGGTGCGGGGCCAGGGCAGGCAGGGAGCCTGCCTTGGCCCCGCAGCACCACGGGGTTGGTAATCCTGTGGGCCAGATCCAAAGCCCTGATGGGCCAGATCCGGCCTGCGTGGGCTGTAGTTCGCCCACCCCTGGCCTAGATCTACTGGTCTCCAAGGCTCGCTGCAAGATACTTCTATTTTTTCAGAATTTGGGGGGCTGGGATGGAAGAGAGGACAGCGCTAGTTTAAGGATGTGCTCTGCAGACCGTTCTGGGATAGCAGTGTGGGGTACATGCTGTTAAAGCTTGTAACAGGTTTTTTTAGAAGTGCCTGTCACTGCTTTAGCATCTGCATTCAGGCCCTGATTCAATACCGCAGATAAAAAGCGGTTTAGTGGACTGGGACTCCTAAAATGTGGCTTCTATTCCTGTCTCTGCCACTAGTTTGCTGGATTATCCTGGGCATGTCACTTCCCCTCGCCATGCCTCAGTTCCCCCCTCCCCCATCTTGCGTAATATTGTAAGGTCTTTGATACAGTGACTCTCTCTTGGCCTTTGTTAGGCCAACAAGGATCGTTTATCTGTTCTGACCTCCGGCATAACAATCTGTGAATGGACTTAATCATATGCATAAAGTTCAGCAACTGCTTTTCTGGAGTGCCCTGATGCCACTATGTAAATCCATGGAATGCCCACACTATGTGCAGGTCTGGTCATCCCATATCAAAAAAGATATTAGAATTGGAAAAGGTACAGAGAAGGGCAACAAAAATGATTAGGCACATTAGGAACAGCTTCCACAGGGAGAGATTAAAAGGATTGGGTCTTCTCAGCTTGGAAAAGAGACGACTAAGGTGGGAGGGGGGAATATGACAGAGTCTATAAAATCATCAACGGGGTGAAGAAAGTAAATAAGGAAGTGTTTACCCCGTAACACAAGAACCAGAGGTCACCCAATGACACTAATAGGCAGCAGGTTTAAAACAAACGTAAGGAAGTATTTCTTCACCCAACACACAGTCAACCTGTGGAACTTGTTGCCAGGGGTTGCTGTGAAGGCCAAAAGTATAACTGGGTTCAAAAAAGAATTGGCTCAGTTCATGGAGGATAGGGCCATCAATGACTGTTAGCCAAGATGGTCAGGGACATCATCCCAGGCTCTGGGTCTCCTTAGCCTCTGACTACCAGAAGCTGGGATTGGATGACTGGGGATGGATCACTCAATGGCCTGTTCTGTTCATTCCCTCTGGGACACCTGGCATTGGCCACTGTCGGAAGACAGGATACTGGGCTAGCTGGACCTTTGGTCTGACCCATATGGCCATTCTTATGTTCTCTTGTTCTTCTAATGGGGCTCCAAGGAACAACTCAGTTGAGGATGCCATTGAACTGACACTTGTCAGGAGAAGCTCCCACTTTGACACTGTGGAACAGACCTGGGGGAACGCAGCTCTCTTGAGCGTACACTTGAAAGCAGGAGATTCTAGCAGTTGATGTCAGATAAGTTTCTATTTTTTTTATTTAAGTAAAGATTTGACTTGATTT